CCCCGTCCCACTGCCTGCTTCGGCCAGCTGGGCTTTGAGCTCCAGGGTGCCCTGGGTTTCGTGGGTTTCGATAGCTTTGCCATGGAGAGCGTGAGGTTCCCACGCCAGAACTCGAGGGACGTCCAGGGGTCTCAGAGTTGGGTTGCTCGTGGAAGGTTTTTTGTGGTCGGGCCCCTACTGCATGTGAGCGCGCGTGGGCATGGGTGCGTGAACTGCGCCGGTCTCCGTCCTCCTCGGCATCTCCTCTCCGTCCCTCCCTCCTCCCCTCCAGGGGCCTTCCAGGAGGGTCGCAAGGTTCATGCGGGGACAAAAAAAGATGGCACAAATATAAGAACTCGGAGGCCCGCGCGGAAGTCTCGGATCGGCGCTGGAGCCGCCCTCCCTGGCGCGCGGAGCGCGCCAAGGGCGGCGCCGGAGGCGCCGCCAAGGGAGGGGGGCCCGTCGCGGATCTGAGAAATCCGCGCGGACCTCCGAGTTCTTATGCTTATGCCACTCTTTGTTTCCCCATCTGGGCAGCCCCGCGGGAGGGGGCCCCGCAAAAAGGGGGCCTTGAGGTGCCTCTGGAGCTTGGAGCGGTGCTCAGCCCTGTGGCGCTGGCCTCTCCTGTCGGCTGGCTGCGTGGCTGACTTGCTTGGCATGTTTCGGAGACCTAGAGGTTGACACCAATCCAGAGATCCAACGTGCTGCAAAAATCAGGACAGAGGTTTTTCGCTGTTTCTGGCCTCTGGGGGCCCTGGCCGGGCCCCGGGACAGTCGATAAACGACTCAGGATAAAAAGCCGGTCCTGGGGAATGGGTCGAGACTGCTGCGGACCCCGTTTTGAACAAATCTCGACATCGGATCTCTGCGATATGCCTCCACCGAGGGAAGTTGATTCCGATCTCGGTGATGGTGGTAACACTCTGGCTTTTTAGATGGCCGAGAGGTTACCACCAACACCACCACCCAGGATCATCTTTCCCCGGTCGAGGCAACCCCCTGTGTTGGTGTTGGTGCTCGTGCCCAGGCCTCCTATTGTTTGTCTGATTTGCTGATTGGTCGGCAATCTTCGACCTGGAGGTCCAGCGGGCGGACTGCCCGCGTGTCTTCCTCGACGTCAGGGTGCGCTACGGCGTGCCGGGCGACGAGGAGGAGCTCCGGGCCGCCGCCGCGCTGGACGGCGCTGTCGCCCGGGACGCAGAGGCGGGCAAACACCAGCGGCACCCCGCCGTGCGCGCGCGTCCTGGCGTATGGTACCGCTGGCTCTGGAGGCGGGCGGCCGTCACGGCCCGGCTGCCCTGCGCCACCTGCGGCGCCTCGCGCGCGACCAGGCGCAGCTGCTGGCCGGAGGACGCCGCCGCGGCCGCAGCCGCAGCGAGCGCCCTCGCGCGGCGCTGGGGCGCGAGGGTGGCGGTCGCCCTGCAGGCGGCCATGGCGCGCCAGTTGCGCACTGCGTGGGGCGCTGGCCCGGAGGGCCGCGCTGCGCGCGGTCGAGGCGGCCGATATGCGGGGTGATCCCGGGCGGCAGCCGGGTCGTCGTGGTCGCGCTGCCGTGCTCGTGGTTGTCAGGGTGCGCACGTGTACGCAGGTGCCTCACAGACTGCCCTGTGGTCGCTTGGGGAGGAGGAGGAGGAGGAGGACGACGAGGAGGAGGAGGAGGAGGACGAGGAGGAGGAGGAGAAGGAGGAGGAAGAGGAGGAGGAGGAGGAGGAGGAGGAGGAGGACGGAGGACGGAAGAGGAGGAAAAGGAGGAGGATGAGGAAGAAAGTAGGTTAGCATGATGATGGTGCTGATCATGATGAGGATGGTGGTGATGATGATGATGATGCTGGTGATGGTGATGATGATGATGATGATGATGATGATGATGATGATGGTCATGGTTGTGATGATGCTACCGGTGATGATGATGATGATGACGATGATGATGCTGATGATGATGATGCCGATGATGATGATGATGATGATGATGATGATGATGATGATGATGATGATCATGATGATGATGATGATGATGATGATGATGATGATGATGCGGATGGTGATTATTATGGTGATGCTCGTGCTGGTGGTGATGGTGATGGTGGTGATGATGAGGAACAGTAGGATGACTATGATGATGATGATGATGATGATGATGATGATGATGATGATGATGATGACGAGGATGACGATGATGAGGATGATGATGATGATGATGATGATGAGGATGATGATGATGATGTTGATGATGATGATGGTCATGATGATGATGATGATGATGATGATGATGATGATGATGATGATGATGATGATGCTGATGATGATGATGATGATGATGATGATGATGATGATGATGATGATGATGATGATGATGATGATGATGATGATGATGATGATGATGATGATGATGATGATGATGATGATGATGATGATGATGATGATGATGATGATGATGATGATGATGAGGAGGAGGAGGAGGAGGAGGAGGAGGAGGAGGAGGAGGAATAATAACACATGGAGGAGGACAGGCTGGCTGCTCAACTGGTTGGCTGGCTGGATGGCTGGCCGGTTGCGGGATGGGTAGCCGTTCAGCTGGCTGGCGGGCAGGCGGTGTGGTTGGCTGGCAGGCTTGATGAGGCTGGCGGATGCGCAGCGAGGACCCGCAGCCTCGTGCTTCGGAATCGTGGCTTCGGGAACGCAGATTTGATCTTTCATTGGACGGGATTTTTCAAAGTTTGTTTCTTGGGGCGGGATGTCAGCTCCCCAATAAACCTGAGGAACAGGCATTTGCATCTGGAGCTTGTTTGCAATCCGTTCTTAAAAGGGTTGGTTATTTGACGAAGTACTGGGCCAGCGTCACAATCAAAAGGGACAACATGGTTGCAATCCGTCCGGAAAAAAACCTTAAACTTAACGTTAACGCTATACGGTGCTATCGCGTACGTCCCGACACACGCCTGCGTTCTAATCCACGCCTGGTGCGTCGCGACATGGCCCCAGCTGGCCCGACCCGCGGCTGGCCAAGGGAAGGGGAAGGGACTAACGAGGAGGGGGAGAGTGCTGGAGTAGTGGGGTTGGAGGAGGGTGGTGGAGGAGAAAGGGGGGGGAGAGAGGACGTGGGCAGTTGTGGTGGTGGTGGTGGTGGAGGGGGAGGAGGAGGGAGAGGAGGAACAATAGCAGTATGACGAGGGTCAGGAGGAGGAGGGGGCGGAAAAGGAAAACATGAGGAGGAGCAGGAAAAGGAGGAGGGGAAGGAGGAGGAAGAGGAGGAGGAGGCGGAGGAGAAGGAGGAAGAGGAAAAGGAGGCGGAGGAGGATGAGGAGAAAAAGGCGGAGGAGGGGGGAGGAAAAGGAGGAGGAAGAAGAGGCGTAACAACAAACACAGCAACAGGAACACGAACAGGAGCAGGAGCAGGAACATATGCAGGAACAGGAGCAGGAACAGGAACAACAACAAGAGCAGGAGCACGAGCAGGAGCTGGAGGAGGAGAACGAAGAGGAAACAACGGACGGAGGAGGAGCGTGATGATGATAATGATGATGATGAGGAGGATTAACAACAATATTATGAATAATAACCCGGATGCCAAACAAGGATACCACTAATCAGAGTACGACGAATCAGACAGTTTGAACAATAATCAGAAAACGAATACGGATATTGATATTGCAAGAAGCATGCTGATTGTTGATAAGGCTAATCACAAGAAGACGGCGAACTACACTAGTTCAAAGGTTTTATTTCAACGCGTGGTAATCACATGAGTAGTATTTCCATTGGTAGTCTTTAGTTATAATGGTGGTGAGGCGAAGCAGGACGATACGACACACAATAGTAATACTGACATCCAGAAAACAATAATATACTGCATACGATTAAGTATACGAATGCAAATACTAATAGCAATCTTCGAACTCGTAATATAATAGGAACTGTTATATCTAGTAGTGGTACTGATGTCAATCATGATGCGAATGCTACTTAGTATGAAGAATATGCATATACGACTGGTAATACTCATACTTGTCATAAGACAAATGAGATGTCAATGCCATATAACAATCGCACGCCGAATACTACGAGATATACTTAGAGAAAGCATCGGACTATCAATCATGGTACGGGTATGCAAAAGGAAGCGATGGCGGATACTAATGATAACGATGATACTCCGAGTATCGTGGATGATAGCAACACGAGAACCTACATTATTACGGATGGTACGAACACTACGAATACGTATAACAATAATCATGCCACCATTCATAAGCACAAACATTATGCCAGTAATCCGAAGGCGAATCAGATTATTGATACACATACTCAGAAGAAGCATGCCAGTACTAATACGGTGAATAATAATACGTATAATGCTGATGATCATACGTCGGATACTAAGCATACTGCTAATAACCATCAAACTGCGAAGACGGTAATAGTCTACGATATCATTATCCATGCTTCTAACAATCATGGTAATACTATGAACCATAAAACCAATCAAACTAGTACGACTAATCATATCAAGAAGGACGGTGAGAGGAGGAGGGGGAGGAGGAAGAGGAGAGGAAGGAGGAGGAGGAGGAAAAGGAAAAGGAGGAGGATGGAGGAGGGCGGAGGGAAAAGGACGAGGAGGAGGAGGAGGAAGGGATAGATGGAGGGAGAAGAGGAGGAGGAGGAGGAGGAGGAAAAGTAGGGGAGGAAGAGGAGGAAGAGGAGGAGGAGGAGGAGGAGGATGAGGAGGAGGAGGAGGAGAGGAGGAGGAGGAGGAGGAGGACATGGAGGAGGAGGAGGGGGAGGACGAGGACGATGAGGAGGAGGAATAGGACGAGGAAGAGGGAGGAGGGAAAAGGAGGAGAACGGTAGGGAGCACGAGCAGAAGGAAGAGCAGGAGGAGGAGGCGGAGGAGGAGGAGGAGGAGACACCAGACGCATCTGCGTGCAACGTGCAGGAGGAGGAGAGAGCAGGAGGGTGGAAGAGGTCGGGGAGGGAGGCTGCGCAAGGAGGGAGGGGGCTGTCGGCGCGGGCCTGCGGGCCAG